TTTCCCTTCCTTGCTTTTTATTATTCACTGACTTGCTTCCCATTTCTCTGGATGAAAGTGAATCAGAAAACCTGCATCTCCTGCAGATACAGCTCTCGCTCCCATTTATGTAATGTTCCCTGCGATAGACCTAGCTAGTGTGCAAGTCACGCTCTGGGTCCTGTGCGGAGGTATGCCAATGCATGAGGCTCCTCTGCACCTGTAAGGGATTCATGCTCTGAGGGGAGGGACAAGTAGGCAGGACACGGAGAAGCAGCAGGGGCGGTGTGAGCCACTGTATTCACTGGGGCAGGTATACTAATGAGCTGGCTGACGCTGTGGCCTGGTGGTTAAGGCAGTTGGATCCCACATGGCCAGGTGGTTTGTGTCCTAGATCTGGCAGTTTAAGAAACACACCAGGATTATGTGCCCAAAATCCTGAAATGAGAGAGAGAGAGAGAGAGGAGAAAAGACTGTGGCATGACCACCCCCACGGAGGTTGCTTTCTCCTCTCCTCTTTCTAGTAAGTGCACAAGCCCTCTAACAAATGAGCCTAGCGTAAGTATCCCACTGGAAAGTCAGCTCCAGGGGAGCAGGATGCTTGTTTTTCTGGCTCACAACTGTAATCCTAGCTCATCCGGGCCTGGTGTGTGGTGCAGTTCAATCAATATTCATGAACCAAATCCATAACATAAGGCATGGAGTGATGAAAGCCTTGAAAGAGACAGAGAGAGAGCGTAAGGAGAATGAGCAGGGTGTGGCATCCAGGCAAGACTGTTCCAGGGACAGCATTCTACAGGGGCCTGTAGAATCCGGACAACTCAAAGACAGAGCTGAGGGGCAAGGAGGGAATCCTGGACTCTAACAACAGGTCACCAAGAACAAATGTTAGAAACTAGAGCCTGGAATTAACAAAGGAGGTGAGGAGATAAGGGAGGATATACTGACTTAGTTCACATGTTTGCAAATATTTACAGTGGAAGAAAAACACGCTACGGTCAACCAAAAAACGTTGAACTCTGGGGCCAGCAGGTGGCTTGGAACTTAAGGCTCTGAACTCCCATAAAGATGACCACAGTTTGAGTCCGAACCTGGTGGCTTGTTTTCTTACTTTCTCTCATTCTCCCTCTGTCTCTCCCTGGTGAGAGCACATGCCCTATGACAAATTAAAATAATGATAATAAATAAAATGAGATAATTATTTTTAAAAATGAGACACACTACTTAACAGAACTCCTGGATCAACTATTCTGAATGCCTATTCTCATTACAGGGAACACTATACAGGGGGGACCCTATGCCAATGAACTCTCCTTGCACAGGATTTAAAATATTGAAGTAATTTCCAAATGACTTTTGCGTGGTGAGAATATAGGCAGAGATGTTATATATTAAAAAATCGAGTCAGGGGACCAGCAGTTAACGTAATGGCTATGTCGCTGAACTCCCATGTAGTTGACCGCGGTTCGAGTCCCAGAGCTGGTGGCTTAAACTCACGCTGGGCGCATGTGCATGCGTGCCCAAGATCCTGAGAGGAGAATGGAGGAGAAGGGATTGTGGTGTGGTCATTCTCACTGGGGACTGATTTCTCGCTTTCTGTCTCTCTCTTCTCTGACTTTCTGGCGAGCACACGTGTCCTATAGCAAAAACTTCTCCAGAAAAAAAAAAGAAAAGAAAAAATCAAGTCAGAGGTCACTGGGACAATTCCTACACACCACTGAACAGGAAAGAGGGCACTGAGAGACCCAATGAAGGACAAGTCAGTGCAGTGTGGTAATGGTGGGACTAGAAACCAAACACCCCAACTCCTGTGTTTGAGATTAACTTTGGATCATGTAGACACGTGCTTTGCAGAACACTGGATCCCTGGCTAAACCAAAGTGTCCAGTACATGGGTGCCATGCTTACTAGGCTTGGAGATTAATTTTACTATTATAAATAATTACCATAGCCAAATGACATATAGTGATCAAAAGTATAAAAATCATCATCACCATGGGACCAGCAATTAGCATAATGGCTATGTCGCTGGACTCCTATGTAGTTGACTGCGGTTCAAGTCCTGGACCCGGTGGTTTAAACTCATGCCGGGCACATGTGTGTGCGTGCCCAAGATCCCGAGAGGAGAACGGAGGAGAAGGGATTGCGGCATGGCCATCCCCCCTAGGAGATGATTTCTCGCTTTCTGTCTCTCTGTCTGTCTCTGTCTGTCTGGCAAGCGCACGCGCCCTATAGCAAAAACCTCTCCAAAAAAAAAAATCATCATCATCATAAAACAAAAATTAAAAAAAATTACTGAGTCATGAGCTACTTTCTAAAAGATTACTGTCTTGATGACTAGGTTGGCCATATTCATTTCTTTGCTACAAAGTCCTTGATCAGAAACCAAGTCCCCGGCCACGCTGCTTGGAAAATTAATCTCATTTTTAAAATGTGGCTCCAATGAACAAAATCAAAAGGGGAATGACCTTTAATAAATAACTGTCAAATAAACAATGCGGCAGAAGGGCTCCAGGAAGTGGAGGGACGGGGTGTGGGAGCAGGCACAGAAAGGGATGGACCGTCACGTGCTGTGTGAGCCAGGCGTGGGCCAGCAGAATGGCAGCGTAAATGAGGCGCAGGAGGTAGGGAAGGCTTTGGCCCGACTATGGGGGACTTTGACAGGCGAGCCGAGGGCTTAGCTGTGTGATAAGGTACAGAATATTCCTCCTGTCTTGGGCCCTGAATCTGAAGACACTAGTGAGAGAAAGTTTCGGGCAAAAGAAAGTATTCTCCTATTCTATGGGAACACCTGTGCCGCGCAGCCATCATGGGGATGTGACACCTTTTCTCTGTAGGCATTGGTAAATCCAGGTGGGGTCAGCCCCATGTTTTACAGGGAGGGGAGGCTAGATCACAGAGGAGAGATCCGAACACACTTCATTTCCACCAGGCCCCAAAGAAAGCATCAATGTCAGAGAGAATATAAAAATGAGAATGTCTCAGGAACCAGCAGATGGCATAATGGTTATGTCGCTTGACTCTCATGTAGTCAACTGTGGTTCAAGTCCTGGTTCTGGTGGATTGAAACTCATGCTGGGCGCTTGTGTGTGTGTGTGTGTGTGTGTGTGTGTGTGTGTGCGCCCAGACTCCTGAGGTGAGCCCAGAGTCCTGAGAGGAGAATGGAAGAGGGGATTATGACATGGCCATCCCCCCTGGGGGTTGATCTCTCACTTTCTGTCTGTCTCTGTTTTTCGAGCAAGTGCACATGCTCTATAGCAAAAAACTCTCTCTCTCAAAGAAAAAAAAAAGAGAAAAAAGAAAAAGAAAGAAAGAAAGAGAGAGAACATCTCAGAAACTCAAGAAGACCTTTACCAGTGCTGTCAGGCACCAGAAGAATAGAGGAGGAAAGTTTCTGTAAAAAAACAGAAGTTTCACTATAACTCTGTTTCTTTTTTTTTTTCTTAAGAGAGTTTTTTGCTATAGGGCACAAGCACTCGCTAGAGAGATAAACAGAGACAGAGGACCAGAAAGCAAGAAATCACTCTCTGGGGGGATGGCTACACTGCAATCCCTTCTCCTCCTTTTGCCTTGTGATTTTGAGTAGAAACGCATTCGAACCCGACATGTGTTTTAAGATGTCAGGTCCAGGACTTGAACCATGGGTGGCCATGTGGGAGCCCAGTGCCTTAACCACTAAGCCATCTGCTGGCCCAGGACTCTAGTTCTTAAGGGCTCACAGGACTCTTGAGTGACAGTTGTGAAAATGATCACTATCAAAATGAAGTCACTTAAGTCAAGCTGTAATGAAGCCAGAAGGCCATGAAGGAGGTCTCACACACATACACCTGCAACACTAATTATCACCCCAAAAAGCCTTCAAATCCGCAGTGTTCATATAAGCTGTGTGTGCAAGAACACTTGCCTATACAACCGCTGACTCCACCAGTAAGCCAACATCAATTCCTGCCAGAAGCTCCTGTGACCAATAGTCTTCGTTTCAAAGCAGCTTTTGTGGACATTTTCTTCTTTAAAAAGTTTTCCCTTACTCCAGTATGTTCAAGTGCACAAAGAGTTTGCCACAGCATGTGTATCCTGGGTTGAAATCCCCCGTTCCTCCTGAATACAGTCTCTGTTTTAGAGAGTCGATTTCTCTGTCGCTCATTTAGATCAATATGGTAAAACTAGTCAGGCCAAGAAAATGAGTCAGTTTAGGCCCCCACAGTAAGCTGACTTGATCTGGGTCATTGGGAAAATCAGGATGTATTTTTGCATAAAAAAACTACAGAAAAATACATTATGACTTTTCTAAGAACCTAACGGATTTACCTGAGAGGCTCTGGCTTCTCTAGTCACCTCTAAAATGGGCACAGCCTGCCCTAATACTAGATTCGAAACGGCCTGAGATTAAGAAGGCCGCAGAGTCACTCTAGTCGGAGGTAAAGGGCTGGGGGAGCTGTGTGCTGCGTCAGTGATGGGTCGACTCACCACATCCTTCCTGTCCAGCACCTCCAGGATGCTGCTCAGAAGCTGCGAGCTGGCCTCATGGTCAGGCTTGCTGGAGTTGTCATCCAATTGGCCGCTGAGCTGGTCTGTCAGCAGTGGCAACAGCACATCTCTGCACTCTGAGGAAGAAAACAGACAGCTCACATGCAACTGTGCCACCTGAACGGCCGGCTCCCTTCTGCAACTCTCCCTCTGCCTGCTCCAGTAGCCACGGGCTTGGGAATCAGCCCTCTAGGAGAGAAGCCCCTCCAGGTCACTGAGAAACCCAGGGTCCTAGGCAAGGAACTTTAGCCTTGTAAATAGATTACACAAACTAAGCAAATTACTCCTCCTACAGGTAAATGGGAGGATTTAGGAAACGATAGGAGTATCTAACAATTTCTCTAGCTTTAAAAATGCCAACCTGATAGGGAACCAGCAGTTAGCGTAATGGCTATGTCGCTGGATTCCCACGTAGTCGACCACGGTTCGTGTCCCGGACCCGGTGGCTTAAAACTCACGCCGGGCGTGTGTGCGTGCGTGCCCAAGATCCCGAGAGGAGAATGGAGGAGAAGGGATTGCGGCGTGACCATCCCCCCT